TTCAAATTAATGTAACACAAATGAAAATCCTAAGTGTTGAGGTATACTAAATGAAAAAGTTATTAGTGATGACATGAAGAAAGGGAGTCAAGAAAGACATCATCTGCAATTCTTTTATACAACTACAGTTGAGTTTCTGAGGCATTTCACTGAAAAGCTATTCCAAATTTTTCCCTTCCCTGGCAGGCTGCAAAACTAGGTATGATGTACACTTAAAGTCTGTACACGTCACTGTATGTAAATGTTTTGTGAAAAGAAAAAACTGAACACTGACTTGCTAAATATGCATGAAGTACTTAAAGTACTAACATCTACAATTTACTTTGAAATGCATCAAAAATAAGATAAACTGATAGAGGGATGATACATGGATAAATAATGATAAAGCAAGTATAGGAAAATGTTAATAGTAGAATCTAGGTGGTAGATATGTGGGTATTCACTTTGAAATTCTTTCAGCTTGGCCTCATGACTGAAAGTTTTCACAATAAAATGTTGGGTGGGGGGGGAATGGGTACAAATTCTTCCCATTCCCGTATATACAGCCACTCTGCAATACAACTTTGTGGTTCCTCCCATAAAGAGGTGGGGTCTATTTCTCTACTTGATCTCAGCCGGCCTTATGACTTGCTTTGACCAACAGAATGTGAAAGAATTCACACTGTGAGAGTTCTAAGCCTATCCTAAGAGGCCCAACTGCTTCAGCTCTTCCTTCCCTGAGTGCAGCCACTGCCATGTAAATGCTCACATAGGATGAGAGAGCACAAAGAGAAAGAGATCCGGCCAACAGCCAGCATCAACCACCAAGCATGTGAGTGCAGACACCATTTTAGACCATCTGTCCACAGTTGAGATGACCACAGCCACCTGACTGACCCAAGGCAAGAACAACAGAAGAAACCACCAAGCTTGAGTTCAAGTCAAACTGCTAACCCACAAAATCATTTTGGAATGGAATAGATAACTGATAAACCTTTTCTTCTTACTTTTAGAAAACAAAACTGAAGCCACTTACATATTTAATAGAAAATTTCTGTTTTTAACCTCCACAGTTACCACTACTACCTTCTTTCACACATCCTCAGAGAATGAATAGCCCCTTTTCCTTTCTAAGGATGCCCCCTCCACTTATATCCTTAATCCTATTGAATTCCCCTTCTTTATCAATGACTGCCTCCTTTGTATTATCAATTTCTCCTTTACTTGCTTCTGCTCCTCTACCATAAAAATGCTCAAGTTTTCTCCATACTGAGGGTAAAAAATCTGAACATTCCCCTTTAGACTCCAGTAGCTTTCATTTTAATTTTCTCCTTTCACTGCCAAATTTCTTGAATGACTGACCTAGAAAGTCCTTTCTTTACTTACTCTGCCTTAGAAAAATTCTACTTGTCCTTCAGGGCCCAATTCAAAATACAGTCTCCTGTCTGAGGCTTTACTTAAGCAGCTCCTACCAGAATTTATCTTTTTAGCTCAACTAAAAATTTTTACCTTTACTTTGTATGCTGTTTTTGCATGCTCAGCATCCTTTCTTCTGGTAGTAGAATCTATAACTTTTGGACACCGCTTGTCTTTCTTTTGTTTCATCTACTTTGAATTGAGCTGGACTATCCTTACTCCCGCTCGACCCTACCCCAACTCCAGAAGATCCAAGTCTTGCCAGAGCTAACTACAGAATTTCTGGAACTATCTGGAAAAGAAGCTTATCATTGAGGTTGCTAAGCTGATAGGATGTAAGGCTGGAGCTGTTTTGGTCATCTTTGCCACCGCTTGAGGAGATATTACCTGAGAATGAACCCAAGCCAGAAGAAAGCAGAGCTAAGATAAATTAGATAAATTCTAGCTATTACATTAAACATCTGGATCCAACCCATGTCTAAGGCCAGTCTTTTCATTTATGTAAGCCAATAAATCCCTCTCCTTGCGTAAGCCGGTTTAAAATTACTTTTTTCCATGATAACCAAAAGTATTTTGATTAACACAGAATCTTTAACCTGTATGTCTACCCAGACAGACTAGAATAAGCTTCTTAAGCAGGGAAGTCTAGTTTGTTCATTTTTTTCTTCCCCACTACATTTAAAAGCACCTTGCTTAATAAATATGGAACTTAATTTAATTAACATGTGTTTTAACAGGAGGGAATGAAGGCTATTGGAGTCTTGGAGAAGGGATTTCAGATGGCCCAAGAGTATGGATATATGACAAGAGAAATGAGTCATTTCATTTGTGGTGTTTTTATACATATTGGTGATGTTTTTATACATCACCAATACATTTGCTTGCTCTATCCCTAGTTCCAACTCAAAGTAGTATAATATGCTAAAGTAAATACAACTCTAAGTAGCCAGTAACAGCTGTCTGTTAGCAGCTAAATACCATATTTTAAAGTTCTGGGCCTTAAAAAAATACCGTATTTTAGTTTCCCAAAAGATTATTATGCATGTATGTATACTCAGATAATAATAAAAGACTTAAACGGTTGTCCAGAAGTAACCCTGTGCCTCAGCTATTTTTCTAAGGCTGCTGCACTGACATGCTCCATTAATTTTTGAAAATAAAACTTCACTTGATGGCAAACATTTAGCAGGAAATAACTTCCAACATGCTCTTTCAAAATGAAATGTTCCATGTTAATGTTCCCCCAATTCAAGCAGGGAAAGACAATATAACTTGTTTTGAATGATGATTTTATACCATCTGCCAAAAATTTCCCAACATAAAGGAACTGAGTGCAGATCACAAGGCTGTAGCTGCTTTAAAATTCTTCAAAAGAAGTCAATTAAACTATTCAGTTAAACTTTTGGATACCATTTGCAGACCCAAGTGAATTAATTTAAAAGCTCTTGGCTTCTTCTAACATTCATTTACAATTTAAATTTAAATCTCAGACAAAAATAAAACAAGTCAGTCCTGCTACCCATCTAAATGCTTTCTGATCTTAAAATTCAAGAACCTAAGAAAATGGAAAAACAATTATTTGAATTCAACAATATTCTCCTTTAAAATGAAAATGAATCTCAAAGACAAATAAATTATGGTACCTCCATGGATTGAATATTATGCCACTATTAAAAATAAAATTATGAAGACCGCAGTTAAATGTTTGTTAAAACTCTAGAAAATATCTACATCTATTTATACATAGACCTGTGTTTGGAGATATATAGATACTATATGCCAAAAATTGCATAATTTCGAAAAATTTGCAAAAATTGCATATATTTTGCATATATTTGCAAAAATTGCAAAATATTTTAACTAATTTAATCCTCACAAATTCTATTAAGTAGCTATTATTATCCCTAGTATACAAACATATAACCTGCCCAAGCTCATAGCAGCTAGCAAGTGGTGAAATTAGGACCCAAATCCAGGCAGTGCTAATTCACTACAATATATTTTTATGTTAAGTTATAAGGAATCAATAAGTGTCTAGACATATCTTATCCTTTATAAATACCAACTTTCTTCCTCAATCCTAGGGTTATTTCTGTCTGCATTAATAAATTTTCTTTTAATTCTATCATGAAGTAGTTAATACTGCTATTTAGCTATAATATGTATCAATTTATCAGTTAATTATCACCAGATGACTAGCAAATTTATAATTTCATTGCAGGCATGAATTCTTATTTTATTTACCCTCTACTCTCAAACTTACACTACAGTTGTTGAATGAATGCATAATGCATCAATGACTAGAGAACTTAAGACACCATTTCTTTTATCA